ACTTCAAATTGTATAAATCCCCGAATCCAGTCCTATCAACCCTCCCATAGGAGTTTTCGCTCCAACACTACTTTTACTTCCTTTTTTAGTAAATCTAATAATGAGAAAGTCCTTTCCAACGAGAATTTAAGGAAAAAGGTGACTCGCATGACTGTGGAGGATTTGGTGAGTAAAAACTAGATTGCTAGCGGACCGCTTTGCTTTTAGATGAATGTTGGGGTTTGGGTCAGCTTTAAATCGTAGTGTAAGCCAGCTTCTCACTCATGCAAGGGCGATTTTTGTGCTGCGTTGTAACAGGTGCAAAACAATCAACATTGAACATGTGTCTTGATACGAAAGATGAGGCATAAGAAGTGATCATTTACTCGTTGCTGGAATGATGCAGAGAGAAAAAACTGAGGAAGTGGAAGCAAAGATGGCGTTCGCCTTTGCGGTGTGGAAATCTGTGCAACCTCTAAGAGATTTGAAAGTGCTGGGCCTTCAAGAACTTCTATTTGATATTCCGACTAGCCTTTGATCAAAACTTTTACATAAAGTCCTCTTTATGAAGGCTACCTCTTTTATTTATGACAACAGCTGATCTTTAATCCGGGAACTTATCGTCTTAGGCAAGGAACTCTTCATTCGCGTATTTTCTACTGACAGTCACCATGCAAGCACTATGGCTAGAAGGGTGAGAAATCCTTCACTTCTGTCAATTCCCAGTTTACGCAGATTCAAAAACAGTTGCTAACAAAAGCGATGAATATCGCGCATACGATTGCAATTTTTCTCCATTCTATCGTTTTTCCAACTTAGCAGACCGATTTTCAAATCACCTTTGTTCCGTGTATGTTCATTGCTTTCAATCTTTCGTTTTTCAAATGTACTAAACTTATTCTTTGCTTTCCTAATGCTCCGAAACGTATCGGTACTACTACGTCTTAGACTCCCCTTGAAGCTTTTGATTTGCAAGGAACACCAAAAAAAGGCTCTCGTCGCGTAAAGACGTTTTAACGAAAAATGAAGGCGGAAAGCAAATTGACAAAGTGCAATTTCATTTTCCAAATGCGGTGAGATCTATAGCAAGACTCTAGATCATCTCATCGCGTGGGTCGGTATGTCAGGCGCATTCCCACAGTAAAGGATTCAGAAAGCATGAGGATTTGAAGCATTTAACCTAGCTTTTGACATAACAATAAGAACTCTGGAGACAGCTCAGCTTTAGTGTTACTTGAATTCCATTAAGAAAAATGACTAGGCAATGATATTCTGGATCCAAAAGAGAACGCGTTTTGAATATGGGTCATCTGGAAACCAAATGAACATAGAATCCATTACCCAGAGAACTCCTTTCCTCTTCTCATCATCTTCCAAGTCATTCCTGTGCTCTCCATTCGCCCATTCGCAACGAACGAGAAAGTTCGTTCGTCGAAATCGTTACGACCAAATTACGCAACGCTGACCAATGTCAGGATTTAAATATTACTGCGACCATCATCATCACTGGCGCATCCATCATCCGCCGAGCGCAATTCTGTCGAGCAACGGCAAATGCGCGAAAAACCATCATTCACTATGAGCCGAGTGTCTATCGTAACATCACTAAAAATCAACGATTTATAGCTCTTCGCTCTTCAGCTTTCATTACAAATCTAGATTTGCACACCTAGGTATATAGAGTTCAAAAGTAGCTAGATGGAATGGTTACCAGATTTTTATCTCAAAATAAACTTTCATATTTAAGCACAAGAAGGTGCTACTGTAAACCGACTTTCATTCAACCTCGATATAATCAATCCGAAATAGACGAAGACGTCGAAACATTAGCTGAATAGATGTTTGGTAACAACGTCGCGTTAGATTATCGATGAAATAAAGTACATAAGACGGTTTTTTTAAGTATTACCCGTCCATCGCTGGCTTATTGCTAGGTCGTAAGCAAAGAGAACGACAAGTATCGGCAAAAAAAAACCCTCGGAATTGGTTCTTCCATCGCCTGGAATGGGCCACTTTGCTCTAATGCATGGCGTTCGTTGTTTCCTGAGTTGAAATCGGATATTTTCGACCGGAGCGTAATTCGTTATTATAGGGTTGGGTGGTGGGTAATCGGACGATTTGTGATGTGATGGAAGTGACAGGTGAACAGAGGTGGCAAGCGAGAGCAGCAAATCCACTTAGCCAGTCATCAATCTTTTCCTTGTTGTATAGCTAGAAGAACAACCTGTTGAAACTATCCATCCGTTACAAGTAGTGGCTTCAATGGAAGCAACCTCAGATTTTTCCTCTAGTGTGTTGTTTACATTTTGTTCAGAATTGTAACGTTCAATAGCAGGTAAGATAAAGGCCAGATATTATGAAAACCCTTTCATTAGACTAAATGTTCACCATTCACAGAAGCAGATACTGCATCTGGTATCTGAGCTCTATCCAATTTAATGGAATTTCTTCTTTGTCAAAATCCTGAACGATCCCATTCTAGTTGTTTCCATAACGAAGAACCTTTGTAAGCTCATCCAACAAATCGACAATGGTCACTGGATGGAAAGTTCCACCAAGGCATGATTGAACCGAAAAGAAATTTGGCAACCCCTTCACAGTAAGAGAGCTCACTTTACTTCTTCATAGTCCTTTATTAGTCGGACGACGGGCGAGGCTGCCATTAGCGATCTAGATGAGTCAACCGCTCACTAAGTAGCATAGCTCACGCCACTACTTGGATGGAAACACCATCCGGCAAATTGAGCCTCAGAGACAGCATCACAGCATAATTTGGAACAACGTACAAAGCGAGGATCATGGAACTCCTGATATGGAGGTTCTGTAGCCCATTTCACTCAAACAAAAAACTTCAACGGATTGCAAAAGAAATTGCAAAATTGTTATCACACTAAGTCGAAGTTTTCCATAATCTACATTTTCTGAGACTTCTTTACACTTTAAACGAAAGCAAATCACTTTAATCTTAAATATCATCTACCGAACTTTTTATCTTTCTTAGTCATATTCGAGGACATTCGGTCTATCATTTTTTTCCCGTTATCTCAGTTCATTGATGGAAGAGAACTCGTCATTACTCTCTGCTAGTGGTATCTTCATTTTCGCGCTATGCAAATAAGAGTCAGAGCTCATTTATAACTCCATAAAATGGAACTGTTGGCAAGTTTTTTATCTTTTCCTCGTGCTTATTTAGAAGTATAACAATACCTTCACTTTGAAATATTCTTGTGCTTATTTGTACTTGATTGCGTTACTACAAACACTGTGATTGACTTAATTAAAGTTGTTTACCCTTTCGGGCAGAATTTGTGCATTGTGGGACGCTCTGCTTCCTACCCTAAGTCCCCACCAAAATAAGAGACGAATAGCTAAGCCTATATCTCTAGGGAGAAGTGTAGCTCTGTAGTGAGAGGTATGTTGCAATATACACAAATTCGCTGGCTCAAATCCGTATACTGGGTAAAGCAAGCACTCTACTCCTTTAGCGTCGAAAAATTTATACTACATTTTTTTTTGCAAGAGGATAAAAACACTGACTTGATACATCGGTAGACCTCCTCAGACCATTATATAGGCCAAATATCTACTCAATCACTTCCACAATGCTTAATGGAGTCAAATGCATGACGCATCTCTAACGAATAGGTCAAAGCAGAACGCTTTATCCTTTACACCACCTTTACATCCCATGTGGGTTTTGGGTTTAGTACATCAACCCAAGGGTAACATTCACTATATTGTAGGCAGTTGCAGCACAATTTAATTCTGCAGTGCATTGGATTCATCACTTGATTTGTTCACAAAAATATGCCCAGAAAGACTTGTTGGCGTCGAAATTTAGATTTAAACAGGCTGTTTATAGTTGATATTTGGGTAATATAAGATGACAACAAAATGGCTGTTTGGAAGAATTGATGGACTCAGTGTGATGAGCATGAGTGAGAGAAGATTAGGCGTAAAATGAAGTGCAAAAAATCGGTTAGCTTACAAGGTCGTATAAAACCCTTTCCGAAAGATTCCAAAGCAGGTCTTTTCATGCGAAAATGTAATATTTGGAGTAAAACTGCTAATATAACTCCTCGCATATTGAAAGGTTAAAAAAGTAGGCCTCTAGTATCCTAGCCAAACTTCGTCTTCAGTTAATCTTGAGAGATGAAACACACACTTGTCCACTTCTCAGTAAGTTACTTGCTAGAAAAAACTTTAGTACAGCCGATTTTAAAGCGCGGTCATCATCTTAGCTCAATCACATAGCAAACTAATGTGGTCATAATCGCTTGAACATAGAACACCAATTTAAAAAGTCACCGCACTGCTTTGTTTAATAGGCCATCACACAGCAAAGAAAGGATTTACAGAACGAAAACCAGCTGGATATGTGCTGGGCAGCTGGGTCTTGTTCCCGCCAATGATACCGCAAAAATCATCGCTAAACAAAGGCGTCTGAATTCCTTCTTCAATCCTGACTCAGATTCAGACTCAAGTCCAAGGAAAAAATCGCTGACGAACTTTTTTGAAAGGTTTTGATTAGAAGAAGAAACTAAAAACAAATATTCTAAGGAGTTCTGCATACACGGAGATATCTACCGGCATCGCTATGGAGCACTGCATGCACACCTACTATAGAAAATTTCGATATAATCGTTAAAAATTACTATTCACGTAGAAATCCGGTATTCCTCGTTAAAGTACTAAAGTTAAGGACCTGCTGTAAAGAATTTTTGGAGGCAGAATTTCAAGACCTAGGCGATTTCATGGATCTGTGGCTTGTAATCCAGACGCATTCTGTCTGTTGCCTATAGCACAACTTTGGCTTCATTTGCATTTATACGTCCACTTTACTGGTGCCATATTTCAAGAGTTACGAGCCATTCGTAGAGTGATTCGGACGGACGTCGGGAGAGAAAAATGAGGACTTGTGGACGACTTGTGCACCTCCCGTTGGGAGTGACATTTAGTGTTTGACGAGAAAACGTAATAACCAGCATGAAAAAGCTAAACAATGCTCTTCTATAACCGACCTTTTGAGCTTTACAAGTGGTTGAAAGCGCTTGAACATCGTGGCTGGCGTGTTTAATCTCCTGTAAACAGAGAAAAAGTGAAAAAAGCAAGAAATTATGTGCTGATTTTTTCCATAGGTTTTACCGCTTTCTTAAGGAAAGAAAAGCTTTCAACAGAGGAAAGTGTTCTAAGTTGCCTTGGAGAATTATTTGGTGTTCCCTTAGTACGAATTCTGTTGGGTACAGAGACTTTCAATAGTGTGTGCTATTCCTTAATAGGATTTTTTGGCTCACGTATTTTTTCGCATACAACTCCAATCAACGTGAAAATATTATTGTGGGACAAAACCGACTTTCCTTTAACCTTGATTTGACTAATCAATATGTATTTTTTCTCTGGTGAGCTTATACGGGATTGACAAATAATTTTTTGAGCTTCTCTGATAAAGACGAAACCGCAGAAACGTTAGCCGAAAGTAAAAAAATTTTATCAACCTCGTGTAAGCTTGTCAAACGAAGAATACATAATGTTATTATGCTTTCAAAAATAGGTCCTAACAAACCTGCAAACATAGACAACAAACAGCTGTTTTACACACTAAACAAAACATTGACAACGTTTCTGTGTTGTGATGAGAACATCGCAAATCTTTGACAGCTCGTGTTCGCGGGATACGCCTAAATCTAATGTCGTCCTTATTTGCCTTGCGTAAGAGAAAAACAAATGCGCAAGACAAGGAGTGGATGAAAAGAAAAAAAATTGATTAACGGACGAGTACGACCGCACCTTTGTGAGGCGTTGGTAAGGGTGTGTTTGGCTAGAGGTCCTCGTTGAGGATGTAGTGCCAGCTGGCATGATGAGCAGTAGAAGATGTCGCACTGCTCGCAGTACACTGCCGCCGGTCGTACGTCCTCCTCGCAAAGCTGAGTACTTCAATGATATGGGCAACGAAACTTGTTTGTGAAATTCTCTTTATGATGAATAGAAATCATCCGCTACATATCTACCGCATTCGGATCTCCTTCACCAATGGTTTGCCTGCCGGTTATTCACAAGCCTACGTGGCTTGTCTCTAGGTACTAGGTGAGGGTTTAAACGTCAGTCAAAAACGACCGTGTGCATTTGGTGGACTCAAGAGATGGACTTCTTCTTCCTATTATACCGATTTGACAAATGTCTTCTACTTTTACATAGACGTATCCATGCATGCGTGGTTGAGAGCTTTCTCGTTCAAGCAGATTGTATTCTATGAGTGAATTCGGCCAAAAGTCTGCAATCAAGTGACTGTGAAGTACAGTGGAGGCAAATGATAGTCGTTTTCAACAAAAGCGCTCTACGGTTTGCCTTGAGATAGACTAGCAAGTTACCCCTGAGTACACTCATTCCCTGCGATGAGAGTCGGTAAGTTACGCGTGGGCATGGAAACCCAAACACAGTAAAATTAATGAGCCTATTCCCCTGACCTCGAAACTGCCATGATACATGTGACATCAACCGTAATATGAATGTTTTTTGTGGATTTCAGTCAACTGTAGGCTGTAATTATTTTCCCACTTTACCCTCTCAATTATTAAACTATAAGCTGAGAGATGTTTATTTAAAGTTGAAAAGCCAAAACATTTTGTCGCGCTGACTTATATACGATTCATATGGCCGCGAATGAGTTAATCAATTTTCACAGTATAAAACTCATAAACATCACTGAACAAAATTATGATAACAAGCCAATTCCCTTTTGAGAACGAAATAGCATGGCTCTATCTTACCTGGCAAACGGGCTCTTTATTAGGCTCTTCTGTGGACTGTTGGTCTTTAGGTGCAAGATGTGGATGCTGTCCCAAATAACGTGAGATCACATTTTGAATGGCGATATTCACTGGAGCATTCGAAATAGCCACTTCATCGCAATAGTACGATGGTTTCTGGCACACTCCTGTAATAAGCAGTGTTTAGATGACCACGGTAAAACATAATGTTTTCGCTGAACATACCGCAAGGAACGATTACACCACTAGTGGAAGGTGTTAAAATACTGGGAAGTCGAGGAATTGGCGGTCCCACAATAGATGAAGGTCTTGATGCTTAAGAAATAAAGATTAAAATTTTTTTCGAAACCCCAAGCTACTCTAGTAATTTCACACCTCTGGTGCAAACGACGCCTGAATCAGTTTCCGAGAGAACGGACATCTTATCGCTGTCGTGGTCCGTGTCCGAGACGCATAACGAAATCGTGTCTGACGCTCCTGAAACCACATATTTCGAAGGATTCTTGGGAAACCCGCGACGACGGTAGACTGTTATTGAGAACAGACATTCTCTTGTTATTGGGCTGTTCTTACTAAGCAGCAATAAGGAAAACGATGCGAAATTCCTAACAATGTGAGGGCAAAATAGAGAAGTAAAACAGATAACATGAAATAATCTACCACTGCTGCTGCTGTGAGGTGACATGGGAGATGACGAAAGGATCTGTGGGAAAAGCGGCGACGGTCCGAGTGGAGTGGCTGGACGAACCGACGACGATGGTTGCTGCGCCTGAACAGTCCATAACATGTAATTTTGTAGTAATTTTTTATGCCAGTAATTTAGATTAGGGAACTTTAATGTCAAAAACGGCGCTGAGTTTTTATACGTGGCATTCTGACTAATTGTCAATGTATAAAGCTTAGAACATAACAATTGCTAACGCCTAGAAGACTTTTAACGAATCCTTCACAAGCTGTAGCTTGCTTTTGACTGTGGAGCAAAAAAAGCATGCCATATGAAAAAAAACCACTGCACAATAGATGCTAATGATTCTTACCTTCAGTGCACATCTTCTGCAGTAGCAGTGTCCACAAAGAAGAAGAATTGGATCTTCGAAGAATTTCCGACACTGAGAACACCTCAGTTCCTCTTCCATATCATCTAATGCATAATGAAATCATTTAATCAGTCAGTTAAAGTGAATGGAAAACAATGAGATTCTAGGAAGAATATGCATCTTTATCGCTCTACCAACGAAAGCATAAATCATAGGAATCATCTTCAGAGAATGCCAGAAACTGCAATCTGAAGAAATTGAAGGAACATAAGGAACTCGTGAAGAAACGTTGATGGGATCTGCATTTATAGCGGTCGAGTTCGTACTACGGCTAGACCGGTCGGAAAAATGCCAAACTAATAATGCTTAATGAGGCAATTCGTGCGAATAAAAACGTCTACAACCTAAACATTACGATAATTGCGACTTTAATGGATCAGTGGGGCAAGTAAGATGCTGAAAAAAGTTTCCACATTTTAAACTTTATGATGCAAACGTCTTAAAAATAAAAGATGAAAATCTTCCAAAGTTCCTTTTTGGAATGGCCAGCCTTTTTTATGAAAGTCTCATAATGCTTGGTGAATCAAAACTTGGGTTTTCAATACTCACACGACGACTTTGTCATGCAAAAAGTAATTCATCCATTTTGTCGACGGTAGGCAAACAATCACAAGTTCTACTAAGTAGTTGACATCTCAATACGACGCGTGCCGGGGGATTAGGTGGATTACGGCAGCAGCGTCGCCGCCAGAATTGTGGCAACGAAGTCCTGAGGTTAGCTAAACCTAAGGAACGATTGGCAACAACTCCACAAGAGTGGACACTTTTCGGAAGATTCAGAAATGAATATACGAGCATTGAAAAAAGATTGAAGGCTGCTATCAACGGTAAAAAGAATAGGAAGGCGAACACATAACAATAAAAGTGTAATTGAAAGGTTAATCTTATTGGTTCCTTCCTGTGAAGAAGTTGATAAAGCTGTCAGCGTTGATCTACCCTTTAAGGATGAGTCATGCATTTGACATCATTAAACACCGTTTGGAGATGATTGAATGCATAACTGGCCTTCACAATAACTCGCGGTGGTCTGCCGATTTACCGAGCTAGTGCTGCTATTCTTCCAGACAAGTCTGGTACCAATTTGCTGACCCCTGAGGGATCGAGGTTCTTCCTCATACACTGTAAACCAGATGTTAATATGGTCACAAATCTCTGAGGATTGGTTATTCGCTAAGCTAAGCTACGCACACCTAGGCAGTGAATTAGAGTAAACAAGGGATTAGGTTGTACTTACCAGGAGGTTCTTAACTTAATAGGCAGTTATTCAAAGAAGATAGAAAGGTATGGAAACACAAATCCTAAATGACGAAAGCTTCCTTCTCAACCTTACAAGGAAATGTAGTACTTTTTATTTACTGCCTATTCTTTTTCATGGCAGGGTATGATGTGAAATATTACCACAATGATGCCGAAACATTAAAATCCCGTTAACGGGTGATTGCTAGTAGCACCTATAAGTTAAAACACGGCTGAGAGAAACGCGAAACGAATGACCGGCATAGTGTGGTGGTGAAAACGTTAGCTACCGGAAAGGGTAATAACAGGCCTGATCCCCATCGCAGACACCTGTGGTCCGGATTTTCGCAAATATCACGGCATCATTCTGTTTACAAGGAAACGTTAATTGGTATCGAATTGCAAACCGCAAAGGATGTTCGCCAACTGGATTACCCATGCCGAGAACGAATTTGCAAACTCTTTCGATCAACGAAAGCTTGAGAGGTAAGCCTCAAACCCCAAAATCGCATAAGGACGGAGGGCGCAGTTATTTAAGTCTTAAAAATACTTATATTTGAAGAAAAAAATGTGCTGGGTTCTTATTTATGATGAGCAGTCTATCTCATAAAAGTTAGAACTATGAGTTTTTTCAAATGGTCTAGTTTGATTTAACAGTGACCGTGCTATATGTGCCCAGTGGAGTTATCTATGTGAAGATTTGTCTGGACGGTCAGTTCGTTTGCTATAACATAACTGTTGACAAACAATGAAAGTAGTATTTAGAACTGGTAGTTCGGTTTATTGATTCTTTAGTTTCTAGTTTGTGTTCATTGATGGTGTGAACAAATCCAAACAAGATGAACGGTGAGAGCCGATGTAAAAACTGACGATTTTTTCAATGACGCTTGAAAATCAGGGTTTAAGGGTGGTATTTCCTGCACTAAGCTGCTGGATATGGACATCGTTAATTCGTCCATTGTTGGCACAAAACCCGCGAAATGTTCCAAAAGGAATTCTCTGGCTTCATTGCCTTTTGCTACTCGCACACAAATAGCCTTCGTTAAAGTGGATGGAAACTACACGTAATAAAAGATAATTAATAGAAGCAGCACTGGAGTCAAGGCATTGGACCATATAGTTGAGTTATGGAAGTGATTCTGTTTGATCGAAAATAGTTGGAGTAAGAGCGAGACCGAATAGGACACAGTTATAAGGAATACAAACAAGGTAAGAAAAGTGAGGAAATTTGAAAAAAAAAGGGTAGAAAACTGGTTCAAATCGGAAGCTATAAACAAGGATAGAATTGGCTTTTTCAAAGGTTTCCTCCTCTTCATCACCATTTAAGACCTCAGTCTAGTTTATGAATAACTAATTTTATGAATGACGAATAAAGAATAACTAACGAATAGTAATCCAGGTAAAACTAGGCTTCCTATATTTCTCAAAAATCCTTGGGATCTTAAGATTCCAGTTTTCCCGAACTGGTCCAGATACCAACGAAGAGCGAACGAACAGCAATCATGTAGAACTTTTGGCGGTTTTCCTCTTGAGAGCTAAAGAGTGCAGCTGCAATGGAAAAAAACATGTGAATGAATTGCATCAAGAAAGACGGAAAGTAACTACTCAACAAATTATAACCATCGTTTCTCTGCTATTTCAGAGCAGCCAGCCTAAGACCAAGCAGCGCCTATTCAAGATAGATAATAGTATTGACTGATTGAGTAGAATAAAAAAGCCAGAAGTTCAGAAGGCTTGAATTGGTTCGTGGATTAAGAAGTACGGGCGAAGTGAAAATAACTGAAAAAACACGGAACACCAAATCACATTCAGTTTAATAGACCTGCCGAATAGAAGAAAAAGTTCCATAGCAACAAATTCACAAGCAGCAGCTGCATTCCTGCCGGAATATTACGCAATCGAGAACTCTGGCGAGGAAAGGAGGAAGGCCTATCGCCAGGACTTCGTCACAGATCGGAAACAGTAACGGGATAGGAAGGACCACCGAGGACAACACAGGACACGGCTGGAGAAGGAAGAAAGACGAGTTAAGGAGGAAGTAGTGTGAAAGTAGGAGTCAAGTCAAAAACGGAGAAATAAATGGAGTTCAAAGCCCAGGGCGTACATAAACGAAGTTCAGAACTAAGAAAAGTTAAAACAAAACAAAGCATTTGCCTAACGCAACGAAACGACGATGGGAAACAATTTGAAGCCTCTTAGGAACACCAGGTTTTTGAACCCACAGAAAACTTTTAATTTCATACAAATTACAAAAAAATACACTACCAAAAGTAGAGAAAGTGTAGAAAAAATAGGTGAAACCTTCGCAATGTCCGTAGAATTCGAGAATATTCGACCATAAAGCTAATTTTACATTGAACAACTGTGATACTGAAACCGAGATACTGACGACAGAGAGGCTGTGAGGAGCTGGCCGTGCGCCAATGAGTGGGCGGAGACATGTAGACGGAGCTCGCCACACCCCCGTCGTGGTGACAGCTGACCGTGCACGCCGGAAAACACGATGTCCACTGCAGATAGGCTGTGTAGGACACACATAAATAAGTAAATAAACGCTCAAGGTGTAGTATTCGACCTGTAAAAGGGTCACCAATGGGGGTGCGATTACCAGGAGTTGCTGGGAGCAATATTAATTACCACCTAGTAAACCAAGAGAGTAATGATAAACAAGTTCGAATTTGCATAATTGCTCGAATTCTCATTAAGCGGCATAGCTAATCGTATGATATAGCAAATTCTGGATTCTCTCGGGATATTCCAGGAACGCCCTATTGGATGACAATCTGACGAAACAGGAACTTTGTTGCGGTTTCGTCGAGCTTCCTCTCCTGTTGTAGTCCGTGACTTTTCAACGCTGGTAACAAAGTAATCTTCACGAAGGTATAGTCATAAAGGAATTCAAAGATTATACTGCATTTTTCCAGTTAATAGCTAGGAAATAGGAGCTTGGCTGGAATAGTTGGTTCCTAGAACGTCCTTAGTTCCTCAAGGTCACTTCATCTCTTCCTGCCCACCACATATGCTTTCTCAGTGCTTTTTTCTGCTCAGCAGCAGATTCGTTTAGGTGCCAGGAATTTGATGCATTTAGAGGGATGTCGGTGATGTGAAAGATAAATATGAATTTGGCAGGACGTATATGACAACCGGATCGTTGACTTTTTGACGACAGCGAAAGGATTCTTTTTCCACAATAATTTATTGACAACACCAATTCTGGCAAGTGCAATTTTCCAGGCGATTGTAATTGCTCCGTTTCATAACGCCGGTCATTATTCGAACAGGATCAGAGGCACGATAATGACGGATGTGAACGACTGGAAACGCAATGTGGATGATTCGGTGGAAAAACGATAGCAGCTCAATGTCATGCTGTTGTCTTCAGAGCACCGCCTTTCACGCATCACTGCTGACCCTCATGGATTCGCGGTGAGTGCTCTTTTCCAAGTAAAAAGTTCTAGAAGATTACTTCAAGGATCTGGGTTAGAAAAAGATTATCAGCAAAATCACGAGCGAACTTTCAAGCGACCTTCATGGCGTGCACTACAAGATAAGTTTCACCTCATGTCATACACCTTAAGTTCCATGAATTTTCAGTTTTTAATCACAGCACTAAAAGAATCATCACTGTGTAAATGCATTTGTTTTCGAAGACTTTGGAAAGGAAATTTGAGGTTTTTCGTGTCCTTGAAGCGGACCAACTGAGTAACTCCAACACACTACCGGGAAGAATGGAGAGTTTACGGACGACCCGATGGTCATTGACGTGAACAAAGGTGACGCAGATAGTGTCACCTATTTGCAAG